ATTGTGGTGGTCGGCAATTCTGCGTGCCGGTCGGGCCCGACTGGCGCCGACCGGCAGCGGCAGATCCCTGGACTAGAGTTTCTTAGATGTGTTTTAATGGTTCATAGTAATTCGATAATGTGCATGTGACTCAGGAAGATTGTGTACTTCTTAAGCAAAGATATTGTTTCATTTCTAGAAAGAGTAAGCAGTGCTTGGATTTTTCAGTCCCAGTCCAGAGTGCAGTAGGATCCATAGTGTTTTTTCCCATTTATTGTTTTCAAGTTCACATGAATGTGTAGTTATTTTGCAACAGTGGAATTTGGATTTGAACGTACCGCTATTCTGCTAGATTTTAGTTTTCTAGTTCAACTTATTTGTTTTGTTCCTAAATGTTTTGTTGTTAAATGTTATTTCAGCAACATGTGGAGTTTCCATTGCCGATTCATAACAACATGGATGACCTTACTACATGTATGACTACAATACTACTTGGTAATGAATTCAAGATGCATGCACAGGTACTGTACAATTTGCTGCATCATACCCACATGTACATGTATATTACTATACAGGTACACTGTAAAAGACCAACTGACCCTGAAAGTACAAACAGCTACTGTAGTCTCCTTGCCCTGTACATCACATGGGCCTATTTGCATATGCATTAAGTGGATAAAAAAGCTTTGAACTGGCATAGTACTGGTACATGTACCTTTGAAAAGCTGCTTACATGTACTGTTGAAAGCGCTATAAAAAATATACACAGACACTACACTACAGAGAATCCCTCAAATTCAGGCAGCATGGGAATTCAAATGAAAATATAATACAATAATCTTCAACACTGAGGAAGTTCACTGCATAGGAAAAATAAACAAAACAGCAAAATGCTGAGTTGTTAACAGTTCAAAGTGTGTTATTACAGGGAAGCAAGCATGCACACATTTGTTCAGTGCATAAATTTGTCAATATGAATAAGCTACATGACAAGCAGCCTTGGTAATATCCAGTGGCACCTTGAGGAAGAATATGTCTCCAAAACCTGGAAATGTTACCCATGACTATTCACAAGTTTCAGCCTGAAAGGTTTGGCAAGCACTCTTTTATAAACTGGTGCTAAGATTTTTTTGACAAATTTTAGAGGATCGAAAAACTTCCATAACTATTTTCTATGGTCTCAAGAACAACTAAGGATCTTCAAGTCAGAGGGAAGAATATAAAAAAAAGTTTTTTTTTTTTTAAAACAAAAAAGCGGTATCCCTTACCAGTAGCACAAGCAGCCAAGACCTGAGACTTTACCATCAGTTGGATAGCGGAGCAAAAAAAACAATTTTTTTAACACTTTATCAGTAAATTGTTGGTTGGCAGATTTGAAATTGATTTTCATTTTCTTATTGTTCAAAATGCTGGCCCCGTTTCAAGTCTGTTAAAAAGTGACACCTCGCACCTTGAAAAGCATATCATTCAATCGTGCACAATCTCAAATGTACACATTTGTGTACATCATTCATCATTCCATGAGAGATAATTTATAAGCAAAAGCATACATGTACATTACTGCAGTGCCATACGATGGAGGGTGAGGTGTTTTCCCGTGGCTAATTCCTTGAGTTTGGAAAGGTACATGTACATGTACATCATACAGCAAGAAAATGTACACCACTTATGTTCTAAGAGTGAAAAATTGTAATTAATGAAGTTGTAGAAGATGGTGAAAGGAGCCTTAAGGCAAATGCGAATGCTCAATGGGATGCTCATACTGTGCAAAACAGTTAAGGCAAACTGCAAACTACATGTACATGTATAACAAAAGTTTTTAAGAGCACTAAAAAAGGGAGAAACATTTGAAATACGCCATTGGAAGATTTGTCTGAGGGAAAGAGTCTAACACTACAATACATGTATGCCTACATGTACTGTCTGAATTCCATCTCGTAATCACACTTTACAATGACCATTCATTCATTCTGGTTCATTTTTGTTAAAGATCAGTCACATTGCTTTTATGCAACAAGGTTATTAAACTGGGAATTGGTCATTATATTGACCAGTGTTATAGGTCTCGAGACTGTCTCAAGACCTTTTTTGTGGTCTTGATCTCGCCCTGTCAAAGTCTCGGTCTTGGGAGGGCCGCTCTCGGTCTTGAAAGCACCGGTCTCGGTCTTGGATGCCATAGTCTCTGGTCTCCCCCTCGAGACCAGTCGAGACTATAACAAAATGCGCATCTAGCTACCAAGCAGTTGCAAAAGGCAAAATTACCTACGCTCGAGTCAAATCTTCAACCAGATATAAATACTACACAGTAATGTTCAAATTTTTTTGCAATGAACAATGAAATCGATGCTGGCATGAAGACTAGTCAATGCAGCATGATGCAACCTTGTCATAAGTTGTTACTTTATTTCCAATCCAGAGTAGCCATGCTGCTTGACACCATGGAGATGAGGTTGTGAGTAGCGGAATTCGCACACTAGACTGGTTCCCGTTCCCTACATAGTCTCCTGCCGAATGTAGGGCCGAACGGGAACTAGTCTGTGTGTGTGCGCACGCTATGAATTGTGTGCATGTGTGAAAGTGCTTTCATTCCGTCTTGTATGTGTTACGTGTTGTTTTAGTAGTTTCGTTACGGTATATCTTTTTTGGATATTTGTTTTTCAGTATTTTGCTTACAAAAAACAGTTTTAGGACATTTGTTTTAATGTTCACATCATATCATTTGGGACACTCGGGTTTAAAATGACCAGATCAGGGTAAAAGTAGAGCAGCATCACTGATAAAAGAAATGAGACATTCTTTAACAAATATTTGACCTATTTGTGCGTGTGTGTTTATGCTGATGTTCTCATTTTATTTCTTTTATACTTAATTGTACTGGCATATGTTTGTCCCGTCCCTATTTACCTTTTTGGTAAAAACTAAACATTGATTTATGGTTGGCCTTGGTCTCGGATATCATGGTCTGGGTCTCGACCTACAAAAGTCTTGGGATCGAAGTCCTGGTCTTGGTCTTGAAGGAGTAGGTCTCGGTCTCGGTTATCAAGGTCTCGGATACAACACTGATATTGACTAATGTGGCAGCTTCTCTTCACATTTATTTCAAAAAAATCATTTTGAGGGTTCAGTTCCACTGCAAGAATGCTCTAAGGAAAAAAAGATCAATGGGGGTGGCAAACAAATCTAGCAATTTAATGATGACATAATATGGCTCTGATTCCCCCAGAGTTTCTTGACCTTGTGGCTGTAATAGGCTGTCTATTCCCTTGCCAGTTATTCTTAGCAAATGACTGCAGGCATCTGCCTTAATATTGTTGGAATCTTACTCAGGTCCAAATTGGGATGATTCCACTGTGTCATAGGGTCCAGTGTTCACATAACCTTGAGTTGCCTCATCAACATTGTTTGTGTGAAAGCAATTCTAAGTCTGCTCTCATTGTCCCACCTCTTTTAATGCAAGCTTTAGCACACACACCAATCACATTTGCCCCGAAATAATGAAACAAATGCTGGCTTTTACTGGATGCTCTGGACAACCTTTGTTTTGATTTTGCCTGAGTTGAAGAACTTCAACTTGTGCCTTTGAAGTCAGTGGCAATCTTCAATAGTTTTTACATAATAGATTGTCTTAAAGACTATAAATTAAATTAAAAAAAAACCTGAAACTGTGAATTACCAACGTGACTGATCTTTGAAATTAGAAATATGTAACCAAATGTAAAGTCCAGGGACTTAAACAATAAAAGACAATAAAAGGTGTACAATAAAAGAGACAAAAATAAGAATAAAATTTACAGCAACACTTAAGCTACAACACATAAATAGACCACAAAGAAGTAAAATGCAGATAAAACATTTGGAATATTGAAGTTTAATTTTCACCACGAAGAAAAACAAAATACAGTGTGTACATGTACATGTACTCACAACAAGCACCTACCTAGAATAAAGAACAAAACATGGAACATAAATTTTGATGTGTGAGTTCATTATTGAGAGTGGTGTTGTAGCTAGGAATTTTTTAGTGCCAGCTGTTTTTGACAATTTTCAAAAATAAAACAGCCCATTCTCTCTCTCAATGCTAAAAACTTGCAATGATAAAATTTGTGCTGGCCGGCAAGCTTCATTTTCATCCCCATCACCAAAACAGCAAATAGTATCACAAGAGGGTGCACTTCAGTTAGACAAAAGATGGCGCTGTACCGAACATTTCGCAAGGACTCCGCTGTGTTCATAGTGGCCTTCCACTGTAGTTGCGCACGCACACTGCACAAACTGCCATGACTGTACTGGAGAACAGCTGAAAACTGTCCACAACAATGGCAAGAATTAACTTAAGTTTATTTGCCCATTTTTGTTTTTTGGTGATGTGTTTAATTTTTAACCCACCAACTGTGGAGACAAGCATGATACAAATTACACGGAAGCATAGGAATTACAGAAGCAAACATGATGAAATTGGCTACTTTGACATGTTTGAAAAGGTAGAAGTGTTGAAAATTTTTGTTACAAAATTGTTCAACCCTTTTTAGACCCTCTATATCCTGGACTCCCTTTGTAATGTGTCAAGGTCAGCACGGTCAGCATGGTCAGGAAGTCCACCTGGCATGCCTGGGCCAACTTAAGGCCTAGGCCCTAGGCAGTGAACACACATGTAGATGATGGTTTATTAACTTAGGCAAGATTGAACAGAGCTAGCCCCCCACCCTTACAACAGCTATTTTCCTTAACAATTCCAAATAACGTCAGGCCTACTTTTCATTTTTTTTATAGTAAATTTAACACTAAACAAAATTCTTCCCATCATCTTGCACCCTCCGCACATTTGTTGACATAGCAGAGCTGTGCAACTGAAAGCTTTTCTCATCTAAACCATAGAGCAAGGAACAGATTATGAACTAACATGACTAGGCCTAATCATAAAGACGGTCATTGAAGAGGCACGACACTCTATACTTACGTTCAAAATCACCAGTGTCTGCCACGACAGTGGAGAAATTTTTAAGCTGTTCCAGTAGAGAAGCCATTTTTTGCCGCTTCGGGGAGGACATTATGCGAAAGCCGGAAATTAGCTGCTTTTATAAGAAGAGATGATGTCACGGAAATTTGCACATGTGCATTGATGCGCAACCCAAGGACGGCCAAGAGAGGACATCTAATATAGTCTGGTTAGCAATCTGTACATAACATCATTGATATGGTGGCGGAGACTAGACATTTCCAAAAATAGCACGCACGCATGCGCAGAAATGGCATTGATGGAAAGAAGTGAAGGATGCAGTGTCCCAATTCAAGGAAAATTCTCCGCCAGGCGGAGGCGCACAAAAAGTACCCCCCCCCTCCGAGATTGTTTCGAAAAGAGGGGTCTGTTTGG